CTCGGCGCTGCCGGGGTGGGTTGCGGGGTGAGGGCGGGGACCACGCATCCAGCGGGCTCCGCGCCTCTCTTCCAGGGGGTTTCACCCCCCAAAAAATGTACGAAACCCTCTCGCCCCCACGGGAGACGAACCCCACGCCCCGCCACGGGGACGAGAGCGGGTTTTCTCCATCGCGACCGCAAAGTTCCTGGTTTTGCCCGTGACCTTGAGATGGGAATTTGGACTTTCAGAGGGTGAGAGCAGGCAGATAGGATCTCCTCCTCGCCTTTCACCCGCGGGGCTGCTCCACCGGCTTTTCGGTGGGGTCTCTGGTTGATCGATAACGCCGGGATGCACACAGATCTGCTCGCCTGCTGTCACCTACCTTGATTTTTTAATTCCAGAGGCTGTTCCGGCCTGAAACTTCCCAAAGTTTCCCAAAGCGCTCCAATAATGGGGAATGTTTCCGCTGGTGGCCTGGCCGGGTGCAGGGTCCTTGCGGGTGATGCGGCTTGGATGGGCACAGCAGTGGGAGATGTCCATGGAGGCCTGTTGCCTTTCCCAGCGGTGTGGCATGTGCCGCAGCGGCAAGGGGCCAGCCGCGGCACCGCTGGCCCTTGGGGACCCCCTGCCCTTGCGATGCAGCCCTGCCCGGGGCGATGCTGGACGTGACGAGTCCCCGGAGGGGACGGCTGCGAGGTGCCAGGGTCCCCCGCCACCGTGGGGACGTGTTAGGAGAGTGATGGCCGCTCGCGTTTGCAAGCCGGGCTCCTCCGGTGCCAGGCAGGTATTTTCCCCGCACGAGTTTTCCCAGCCCTGGCTGGAAGAGCCGGTGCTGTCGAGTATTTGCTTAAGCAAAGGGGAAGGGGGTTGCCCAGCTACTGCACCCTGCAAACCTCTCCCCTCCCCGGGGCTTGCTTTCTGGCCTTGTGCCCCCCCCCAAAAAAGAGGGAGAAGCAGCACCCGTCCCTCCTCCCCAGGCTGGCCCGAGTCCCGCTGCCTGCTCCTGGCACCCCGGGGTGGCCTCTCCGTCCCTCCCCCCTCCCCCCCAGGAGGGAGCCCCGCTGGAGGGGAGCTGTGGGTCGGGGGGGTTCCCCACGGAGGAGCCCAAGGGGGGGGCCGAGCAATTTGGAAGGGAGGTCACGTCACTCCGTCCGGGCGAGAACGGCATGTAAAAGGCTCGACGGAGGCCTTATTTGGTAGCGGAGCGGCTCCGGAGAGCCCAGCTCGTGGCCCTCGTCCCCATCCCATGCCAGATCCCTCGTGCTGGGGGACGGGGGCCTGGGGAGGGGACCCCAGGGACAGTTTCTGGGGGGAAGGTGCCCAGCGAACAGATGAGTTTTGCCCCCCGTGGCCTCTGCGTCGCATCCCCCCGTGCTCCTGCTGCCTTTCCTCCTTGAAGCACTGGGTCCAGAGGGTTTGGGAACAAGCTCCGGGCAGGACACGGCCGTGCGTGACCCCCTGTCCGTGCCCGCCGCTCCTCCGCTCTGTTGCAATCCCCCATCTGCTCCCTTGGCTTCTCGCTGCCTTTTCCTCCGCCGCTTCCTCGTTCCAGCCCCGGCAGCTCTGGACTCGCTCTTTCCCGAGGGCTGCTCCTTCTCCTCCCGTCCTCCGCCGGACGTCTGGCTGCCGGTACAGAGAAAAGACTACGGGTAGCGGGGCCAGAGGCTGAGCCCGGTCCTCCTGCATCCCAGGGACGGTGAAGCCAGCATCCCTCAGCCTCAGCCTTGTTTATATTGGGGAGTTTTGCGGGTTGATGGCGTGCATACACACAGCCCGGGAATCTAAACCCAGCCGAGGAGGACGCTCCATTAGCGGAGAGAGTATTTATGCAAGGACTAATCCCCGCAGGGCTGGAATGCACCCCGCCGTGGGGGAGGCAGCACCCCACTTTGCTGAGGGGGGGAAGCTCCGCTTGCCCTGTTTTATGGCTCGATCGCAGCCCCGTACCATCGCCTTCCCGCTCCCACCGAGGTCCGGCTGCCTGGCGGTGCCTCCCCGGCGGCGGGCAGTCAAGCGGCTAATCGGCTGGTAGAGAATTAAAGCGAGCCCCCGCTGAAAGGTGGCGGACGGGGAGCTGGGGTTGAAGGAGGCAATTAAATGCCTCGTGAATGAATCACCCGGACGCTTTCCGCCTCTCCCCTCCGGCCCCCCGGCCTGTTAACGTTTACCAGGGGCGGTTTGCGCAGGGGCAGGGGAGCGTGACCGTGCCGACGGGGCGCCCGGCATCTCTTGGGGCGCCCGGCATCTCTTGGGGGTCCAAGGCAGGGAAATGCCTCCCCGGTGCCGGCTTACCTTCAGGAGACAAACCTGGCTTGTGGCTTCATGCAAGGAAGAGGAGGAGGAGGGCTGCCGGCGCTCCACCGTGGACCTCTCCATGCTGGGGCCATCCTCAAGCCATGGTTTAGAGACCCCAGCCAACCTCTCAGCCCAGGTCCCCACCTCTCCTCGTGTGTCCTCAGGCCCAACCATCCCAGCAAACCCCCAGGTCCTCCTCCAGCATCCCTTAAATAGGCCCCAGATGGGACGCAGTGTTTTGGGGACAGCAAAAGGTGATGGTGGGATGCAGAGGAGCAGCAGTGAGAGGGACGGGCCAGAAGTGGGATGGAGAAGAAGAAGATAGAGATGGCTTCCTATGGAGAAGAGAGTAGCAGAGGCTAGGAGAAGACTTTCTGCAGGGACGATAAAAGCCAGGAGGGGACAAACCAGGAGGAAGGTGGCGGAGGTGGGATACAGCGGCCCTGGCAAATCTGGGAGCTGTGGGGCACAGCGGCAGGAGCAGAGGAGGACTGTGGAAAGGGGATTTCGTGTGCTCCTCCTGTGGCCCCGTAGCTGTCAACCCTGCTGAAGGAAATCAAGGTGGTGGTCACCTGCCAGGTCCTGCACCCACGGCCAGCGGCTTCCCCCAGCAAACATCGACACGTCTGACCTGGAAGAAACCTTTGGTTTCACCCCAAATTGTAACAAGAAGGAGAGATGGAGAAACACTCCACCAAGAAGAAACACTTAAAAAACATCTGCGCAGCGGAATTGAAAGGAAAGAGTTTGGGCTGTCCTAAACTGGGGGTGTCCGGGCTGCGGGAATCCCACCGCCACGCTTGAGTGCCCTTCGCTGAGCCTTGCTCGGGAGCTGTCGGTCTGGCCCCATCCCACAAGACACTTGGGAGCGTGCGTCTCGCCCGATCCACCTCCGAGAAGGGCTCATTTTTCCCTGTGGAAGAGCATATACCTGCCTGCCGGCCGGCGATTTCTCTAATAAGGCTTTTTTTTTTTTTTCCCCCTCAAGGGCAGGATTTTGCCCTGGGAGCGTTTCTGGGAGAGGATGGAGGCTGAGCCCCTGGGATCTCTCAGCACAGGAAAGCCTGGAGCAGCTCCCTGCAGGCTGAAGCTCCTCTTCCATTTAAGGGCAGAAGTAATATTTCCGCCTAAAATCCTTCCCTTGGCAGAAGGATATCCGTCCAGCCCGCTGGAAATTATTCCCGAGGACGCTCCCTTTCTCTGCTCTTCCCACCTCATTTTAACGCAGTCCAAACCCTCCCACCTGCTTGTTACCCAGCCCGGAAAAAGGATGCTGTTTACGTAGGACCTACTCAAACACCCCTTTGGCTGGGTACGCCAGCCCCCCGGCACCCTTTTGGGGGGTGCAGATGGGGAGCACCCATGACCTCGTATCTCCCCCCTCCTCCAAACATCATTTTGGGGCTGGAAACCCGCCGGGGGATCCTTCGGAGCCTTTCTCCCTCTCCCGCTCGCTGCTGTGTAATTTTACAGTTTCAAACTTGGCCGACCCGCGTTTGAACTTTCAAAGAAAACAAGTCATTACCGAAGAGAAGCCCTTCCTTTGCAAGGCTGAATTTCAGAGGGATTTTCAGGGTCTTTTATCTCTCCCATCTCTCTGCCGCACAGCTATGGGGCTAAATGATCTGGTGAGCCCGGCTCGTAGGGGTTTGGATTTCAGGGACGCGGCGAATTGGCGGCGGGTTTTCCCCCGGAGCCCATTTCCGACGCCTCTGGTTTCACGCAGCTCCCCGGGGAGAGGAGAGGCGGGAAGCCAGCGTGCCGGGGAGGACCGGAGGCTCCAGGGATGATGGAGACGAGGCGGGGGACACCACACAGGGATGCTCAGCCTTGGGATGCAAACCCAGCTGGGAGGGTGGATGTGTCCAGCGAGCCGATGCCCTGGATAGCAGCCACGCTGGACCCACCTGAAGGGGAATATTTTTTTTCCCCCAAGGAAAGGATAAATTTGCCTTCTTTACATTGAATTTCATGGACACAAGGGGAGCTCCTCCGGATGAATCCCTCCCCAGCCCCTGCCGGGAGACATTCGGGCAGTGACTCCATGGGGAGACGATGCAGCACTGAACGCCTTGGGGTGCTCCATCACCCTCTCATCTCAGAAGATAGGCAGAAAACTGGTGGGGGTCCCCCAAGGCGCCTTGTGGGGGTGTTTCCAGCCCACCTTGGATGGTCCCAGTTGAGGGGACAGGCTACCGGGCTGCAGCCCTGGCTCAGGAAGGGGGGAGGACATGCCTGCCCTGCTCCCATCCAGCCTGGAGCTCCCAGCATCCCTCTGGGCAAGGCCCTCAGCATCCTTTCCTGGCCAGAGCAGGGCTTGCTTCCCAAGAGGAATTAAGTGTGGGATGGCCGTACGTACGCGGCTGGCTTGTTTTCTGGCAGCCCCCATGCATCCACCGGTGGGTACCAGCAGCGGTGGGTACCAGCAGCGGTGGGTACCAGCAGCGATGTCATCGTACCCATCAGCATCACTGGGGCTGTTGACGCAAGAGCTATCTGCAAACGGTCCCGAGC